AACACCTTCGTTGGGAGATACTATTTCTCCGTATCAGGTACAATCCTCTCCTACTTCTTTTGGTTCAGATCTGATTCAGTTTAAGGTTCAAGAATGATCCTTGAAAATATGATTTTCTAAATAGGGAATGCGATTTCCAGTTGAAGGGAGAGAAAAATTTTTGAAATTCGCCCCTTAWTYCGCAAATCTTTGGGCGTCGATGGGATAGATCTCTCATCCCTTCAGAATTGGCATCAATTCCTACTTGGCACTTATTTAAATGTACTTTGAGCCTACAAATTTTGACCTTGGGCTGAACCATCATTCTCCCTAAAAAAAGTCACAACCCTACAGATTTCAATGCATCAGAGAATATTGAATACCTTTCTGCTTTCAAAAGTTGTTACAATCAAGGAATTTAACTAAATTTCCCAATAACTAGGGTTAAGTAGGCTCATATTGAAACCAAAGACCGGTTGAATACCTTTCTGATTTCAAAAGTTGGTGTTACAATCATGGAATTTTACTAAATTTCCCAATTAAGTGGGCTCATATTGAAAAATAAAAACCCCAATATGAAAAATGGTGTCCAAAGACCGGTTAGTTGCGCATAAAATGGGGCACAACGAATTTTCCTGATATCTTATTTTATTTGGAAAATAAATCTGAATAGTTGAGAAAAATATTAATATTGCAGGATATGAATCAGAAACAACCAACGTATGTTGATAAAATGACTTGGAGGATTTACAAGAATTTATTGTTCTTAACGTTTGTACTCCAAGCTGACTTTTAGTAGCATGCAAAACAAAGGAAAATTGAATGATTTCCTTGAAATAATGATTTAAGAAAGCATGTCATTAATCTTTGGAAAACACAAAACAGGACTACTGGTCTACCACAACGAATGCCATTGTATGGTGTACAACACTATAAAATAGTAAATTCTAAGAAATCATTTTTTTCTTCATTTACATGCAAACAAGCCATGGTTTTCGAAACCGGATGGTCACCTAACCRATTCCATTTTTCCCCAAAACCATTGATTTTGGTCACCAAACCGCTAAATTAGCCGATTAACCGTTCAAACTGTTCAAACAGTTTTTACTGCTTTTCAATTTTTATTTTTTTGTCAGAACAGGCCGGCCGTTCAGGTTGAACGGTCAGACCATTGGAACCGGTAACCAGACCCCTGACCAGTTCGTTTTTAAAAACCATGAAGCAAGCATCTTTTTCTTTTAAACTCTTCATTTTCCACAACCATTTTACATGCAACCAAATGTTGTAAAATGGCAATTTTTAGACAAATCTACGTTCCTGCACTTGATGCAACCAAATGGAAAACATTCACTTTCCATGGTCATTTTATGTACAACCACTCAGCATAAAATAGTAAATTCTATGAAACCATCTGTTTTCCTTCATTTTACATGCAATCAAAATGTTAAAAAAATAGGTTACAGACTCCAAATTTGTAACAAAGTCTGTTGTCATTTCAATTACAACAATTTTTGGGTTGGAGAAGCAAAAGTGGTTTTGGTGGGACTTTGTGGCCGATAACAAACAAAAATGAGGCACAAAGCTGGATGACTCATCCAACTGCAATGGTGATTCACTAGTAAGGATGGTGCCTATTCTTGTGAGTTCTTGGAGACTTCATAACCAACGAGCTTGAAATCCAGGAATGTTTTGTTTCAGAAGATTCGTCTGACAACCAGCAACATAAGCGACCATCCTCACCACCCGTCCATCCAAAAATGCCTCGGGTATGAAGAGGGCCACCATGCAGGCTTGAAATAGGCAACACAGTTCTCACAACACCTGTGTGTCCACCCTCGAGTGTAGCTTCTGGAGAGCATATTGCTCCCACTCCCTTATAATTTACAGGAAAGTATCCCAAAGTGCCAGCATTTGTGCCGCCAATCACCCACAAACGATCATTGACTGCTGAGTAGTGGCAATCAACAAAATAATCAACCTGGAAGGTAGAAAATTTGATAATGAGAAAACTAGATTGGTCATCTACGAGAATTAAATACACCACGAGGGATAACAATTACATTGTATCCCAAGGAAGGTTTAAAATATTGACACGCACGATACAAAAAAAAAAAAAAAAAAAAAGTGTATTGTGCATTTTGAATGGTCGACATGTATCAATACTTTAGACCTGGATACTGAGAATCGCATGTTCCAGGACGGCAATGCCTTTCTGGTGGTACATCATACATGACAAATGTTGTCCATTTAACTGCATCTTGCAGCATGGATCTTTCTTTCGTAGTATATCTGAAAGGCATGTGATCCCAAAATATGTAGGATGTATCATCAATCACAAGTCCGGCACTAAATTTTTTCCCTTCAAGACCATGGTCTAAAAACACTCAAAATAATTGAGATGGCAAGGACATGAGTTTTTGGGAAGAACAGTTAGTCGAGTAAAATCTCAACATTTTTATGGTTCATTGCAGGGTAACAAGACAGGTAATTTGGTTCAGTTCAACGTTCATTGTTTTTTATTGATCTTTTAATTTGTTGTTGTTGGCAGGGGCGGGGGTTCCACAAAGAGCCCAACAAACCAAGGCAAGTTAAGAATGAAAGGTGTTCCATGGAACCCCAATTTACATTTGAATGAATGTGTCCCAATAAATAATGCCGAGAACACTATCTGGTAGAAGTAATATGAAGATGCCCATAACAATCTGGTGAATGAAAAAGATCAAGCATTCTATTTCATGAAACAAGACCAACTCACATGATCTAGAGTCCAATTATCAGAGGCTGATGAACGAGCATCCTCAAAGTTGGCCTCATTTCTTCCATTTCTCCAATCCCAAATACTGTAAAGAGCAAGATGTACAGGCATAGAATTTGTTAATCAAATCATCTAACCAGAGAGAGAGAGACCTTCCATGTGTAACTAGGTAAAACTAAAAGGGTCTTTGTGTTCCATGCTCCACCTTCTATTCGTGAGCCACATTTTTTTAGTCCAACCAACCCCACCACATGGAGAAATAAAACCTTTTTCTCTATGCATTTGTTAATGAAAACAAATAAATGAAGTTTTCAACTGCCAGGTGGACTAGGGAAGTTAACAGACACCAATAGTTGGTCCACTATATTAAAGACAGTTTGGACTGGCTGAATCATCTCAATATAGCTGAAATACGAGTCATCTAGACAACACAAATAACACATTACGAGTCATCATGCATTATCTTGTTGGGAACCGGTCTTAGAGTTAATAAATAAAATTAAGGTTTCTTTTTCTTCCCTGCTGGCTAGAACAATATTGACATACTCCTTTGAATTCTTTAAGATCTTTAATGTGATCTCTTGTATAAAAAGAAAATAAAATAAAACCTTTAATGAAGTTCTCTTAATTATAAGTGATGACCTTTAATGAAGTTCAAGATGCATTTTAGTTCTTGTTCATTTTTGCAGGGCAAGATCAAGATTAAAGCAGCCCCATAAYTGATTCCTTCTGTTAAACAAGTCTGGCAATGTCTATCAATTCTTGTAACTAAACCCCAATTTTTTTCCTAAGCCCAACATTGCATAATGAAATTTCGCTCTTTAATTTGTAATGTTTAATCTTTTAGGTTCCACAACCATAGAACCCCTACCTATCCCAGTATCCCTACATCACCAAAACCTCGTACACTAAGATGGAGGACTATCCACAGGAAGTATGATGTCATGCCCCAAGGAAAACTTTCACATCTACAGAGGGGAAAAGATAATATAATAGAAACATAACATTAAAAAATAAAGTATAAAAAATGCCTAATTCATAGAGATATGCCTAYGATATGCTTCATTCCCACATGGAAAAGCCCAACATAATCAGCCTGACAGTGAACTCTACAGTCAAATTCAGGGTAGAAAAAATGCCATCAGTTATGGATGCACTACAGGAAAGCAGGTATGAAAAATATTAGAGATGATTAATTAATCCAAGACTAAAATTTTCTTTGATACCTTAGAGTTTCAATATGTGTCAAACACCAAAGTTTTTGGTTCATCTCTCCAAAAAATCCTACTTTTCCAATTGAAGTCCCTACATTCATCACCTGCATAGTTTGTAAGTATAAAATATGGTTAGATGTTGAGAACAAAATACCCTTTGTTTCGCCAAGGCATATAAAGCGCTAACTTGGCATAGCCTGAATTTCAAACTATATATTTTTTTATAGGAATTCAAACTTTATCAAGAGCCATCCTTGTAAAACTTGCATGAAATGTCAGAAATTCTAGGCTTCTTTCTCGATTAGCCACACCTTATTTTCTGCCTGTGAACACTTTTTTTGACAGATATTCCTATCAGAAAGAACATGCATTGAAACTACTAACTTTATTTGCTGCCTGTGAAGGCCACTCTGCAACTTACATCAATGAGCCTTTTTCAGCAAGTATAATGACAAAGCCGGGTGAAAAAATGCTTGAAAAAGGCAAAATGGTCTTGCATACTTCTATAATTAAATGAGACCATTAACTGATTTTAGTAATGAACAAATGGAACACAAAGATAGAAGATTCTAATTAACAAGCCATTCTTACTGATTCCAAATGATCATCATCATTGATATCTCCATCAGTGTTGAAAATGCATATCAGCCCATCAACAGAAGCTGAAATAAGCTTGTTTCCTTGGCCTGGAACAAAGTGCACCTGGCAATAATCAAGGAAAGTGGGAAAAAAAGCTTTAGAACAGACATCCATTGACAAACTGTGCTATATGATCAAGGAATGATTAAAAAAAGAAACCTAGATGCATTCTATTTGGCATATAAAGCCATAAGCACTTCTCATAAATAACAGAAAATGGTGGTCAGTAATGCACAAATATCTGTCAATAAGTGCAGCGTTATAGATGGAAACTGTGATATAACAAGTTGAGTCCCAACCTGTCTACCCAAGGAAAATTAAGTGAATGTATAGATGCCAGGTAGAAATTACCCATTTTATCAGTCAACAAGGTGAGATGCAAATGCATTTAGTGTGCAGTCCACATGATCAAAATCTGTACCCATGCTGCCATTTACATGACAGTCCACATGCAAGCCCTTGCAAACATGCATGATCATTACAATATTTTCAACCTGCAATCAAACCATCTGGTCAAACAAGTTCACCCATCACCCAACCAGATTTCCAAGTCCATTTCACCCTTGAACCGCTCACTTGCAAAATACCATTGAGTTGGTCAACAACCCATTGACTCGACCAGTTGAACTGCTGAACCATTTGACCTAGTAGGTGGATCACAGGTTGGACAATCATTGCCTTTTTCTTTTTCTTTTTCTTTTTTGTATATTAAGATAAATAACAATAATTCTCACTTATCATACTTATTTTTATTTAATATGATGAATATATAATATTAGAGACATGCCCAAATTTTCTGCAAAAAAATCTATAATTTTCTATAAATTTTCTGTATTTTTATCATTTTTTATGTTTTTTATTTTATTTATAACATTGAGGGTTGACTAGTTTGACCCAGATGAACCATTAGCCCAACATCCAGACAGAAAAGCAGTTCCATTTCTGGGGTCGTTTTAAAAACATTGGATCATAAATTATCTCCTGAAACACATTTGTACGTATATGTGAGTGATCAATAAAAATTTTTAACAACGTGAAGTATGAACCAAGGCTATATTTAAATTGAAATTGAGATACTGATGCAAGTTCTTCCCTTCTGAAACAGATAGATTCATATGCAAACTTTGAAAGCGGTGGAACATGAGTAATGTTGCATAGACTCTGGCAAACTACATAAATAGGCACCGCATGAGTTACCATTTGGCAGTAATGTGAGGTGCCCAATGCGACAAATTTTGGAAATCAAGAAATGTGTAATCTACTCTACAGTTAATTTCTTGGACTACAATATGCTTCTGACATAATAAAAACTCATGTATGCATAAACATTAAGAATACATGCTTATATAAACTGATTGAAGGGAACTTGAACAAGTGCCGTTAGTTGGCTTAGTGGTTAACATCAGGTCCATAGAAATTGGTATTTGTTCTCATCTTTACAAGCTCCTGTTGTATTTGTTACCAAATATCTGTGTGTACAGGGACCAGTATACAGTGGATATGGGTTATGAATGTAATTTTCTGCATCTATTTGCTAGGTTTCTATTTCCTGGTAGCCTAACCTTTCTATTTTTACATTGATTTTAAAATTCTATTTTATGGTGCTTGATTGCATGTAAAATGGCTGTAAAAATGGACTTACAAAAGACGAGTACAAATTGAAGGATTTTTTTTTTCAGATCAGCAACTCAGAAAATGAATTCATTAAGCAAATAAAGAAGCACAACAAGAAATTGTGAAGGATATAAATAGACACCCTGTGTCTAAACCCCAAGAATTACAACTGAGCCCAAAACATAGACTGTCTTTGTACTCGTTGCTTAGCTAGACCATCCACCAAACAGTTGGCAGACCTTCTAACCCATTGGACTTGAATAGACATGTCCCTAGAAATCCATTTGAACCTCCTAAGGTCATGCCTTACATGCCAAGAGACTCCTTCCCCTTTCTTTAATCAGTCCACCACTAATTTGGTTATTTGGAATCTCCAATGATTAGCCTTTCAAAACCCAACTCCTTGGCTTTCTCAAGACCAAAAACAGCTGCCAAGAATTCTGCTGTAGCCCAGTGTTTTGAAAGGTGTGAGAGGAGTACACATTGGGTGCAAGAGGCGTAGGCCTCATAAGCTTTTTTCATGAGGCATGCTAGAGGTGTACGCCTCATGCGCCTCACGCACACCTCATATAAAAAGACAGAAAAAAAAGAAAGGAAAAAGAAAAAAAAAAAGGAAAAGAAAAGAAAAGAAAGGGAAGGGAAAGAAAAGGAAGGAAAGAGAAGAAAAAAAAGAGAAAAGAAAAAGAAAAAAGAGAAAAGAGAAAACGAAAGAAAGAAAAGAGGCGGAGGCGCTCCCTCACCTCCGCTTCAACAAGACCCCCCCCCCCTTCAACTAGTGATATGCATTTTCATTTTCTTAATATAAAAGATTTTTATTAAAAATAAAGAAAAATGAGATCCTCCTCATCCCCCTCCTCTAAAGGAGGGTAACACCTCCTTGTGTTCGGGAGGCTTATGCCTCTTACGTTCTGAACTACGCCTCATGCCTCTACGTACTAGAACGCCTCGCATCACACCTCCATGTTTTAAAACATTGCTGTAGCCACACCATTTGCTCAACTGGACCTGAGAAGAAGGCACAAATATTTCCTTCCTCATCCCTGATCAACCCACCAATTCCAATGGGGCCTAGATTGCCCACACAACTCCCACCAAAATTTAGTTTCGACCAGCCACGAGGCAGGGGTGACCAGTCCACTGCTGCAATCTATTTTCTAGAAGATGAGGCAGCTATAGCCCCCCAAGTTCTGAAACAATCATCTACTTTAAAGTCTAAAAAAAGAACCAAGGTCTTGGCCCACTTTTCTACTCTTAGGATTATGACCTCAATCAATGCCTCCTTATTTCTTTCCTTTCCCCCAAATATTCTAGAATTTCTTTCCTCCCAAACTGTTCAAACCACTGCTGCCCTTGTACATTTCCACATCAATCTGCCCCTACTAGTAGAACAGCTACAAACAAAAGGGCTAAACAACTCCCCCAAATTAACAGGAGGAAGCCAACTGCAACCAAAAAAGTGAAGCGAACCAGTCCCAGATAAAACAAAGGGGCAGGAGAGTAGGAGATGAACTGCAGTCTCACTGTTAAGCTTGCATAAGCAGCACCAGTTGGAGGACAAGCACCAGTTTGGCCTCTTCCYTCTAAGTTTATAGAAATATTGCATTCCCTTTAATTATCCACAAGTCATTTTCTGAACAGAGGTTGTTCCTCTCAATTCATATCTTGCCACGATCATATATTTCTAAACTGTTCATATCTATTTTCCAAAAGAAACATAAAGAAATTTATATCTCATTTTCAAGGAAATCATTTGTTTTCCTCCATTTTACATGCAACCAAATACAGCCTAGATGTACAATAACAATTAAAAGTTAAAAGCAAGATATTAGTGAATTGTGTCTAAACATGTGAATATGGCATGGAACAGGTCACATCCACATTGCAGAACTTGGGGGCATCATAGCTGAATCTGGCACTTGGAACTTGGTATTTGATTTTGAAACCCGTCAGTATGAAATTATCAAATGCAATACATAGTTAATGGTGAGAACATTTAGCTGAACCTGACATTTAAGATGAACATTTCAGTCATGAAACTTAAAGTTAATGGTGAGAACATCAAATTACAACACATATGATAGTTTTCTAGTTTTGAATGATGCTGTTAGTGCAGATAATTTCTTTCAGGCTTCAAATAACTCCATGTCACTGTCTCAGAAATTGAGTAGAATACAGATGGAAAGCAGAAAAGTTTATGTTTATAGCAGTTACTCTGATCTTCCCACTTCATGACCTAGAAAAAATTTAAACCTAGTAATGAAAACAGATGCAAGTGCCAACTTGAAAAATGAGATTTTAAGAGATAAAATAATATTCACAACCAACCTGAGTAACATCATCCATATGAGATTCTTCCAAGCATGCAACTTGTTTTCTGTTTCTCCAATCCCAAAAAAGTATCTGCATGCACACACACACACACACAAGGCTTCAGGTTTCCAACTGCCTTTTCAATGAAACCAAGTTTGGAACAATCAAGAAAAGGCAAGCCTGTTAGAAATTGACTGCACCATAGTTTCCAAATAATCCCCAGAAAAAAAAGAGAGAGAAATTTATCAGTTCAAAGCAGAAAGGGGAAAAATACTTTTCCCAACTAGACACAAGATCCCCCAAACTTTTGGCCATAAATTTACTTGCTTCAACATGTGAAGAATCACAAAGAATGAATATTTGACCTCAAAGAAATAACCCAACTGGAGTGTGAATCAAAAAGCTTCACCAGAAGGTCCAAGATTTAGGGGTGCTTCATGGTCCGGTTCGGTGCAGTTTAGAGAAGATCTCAAACCAAACCAGTAAATTACGGTTTGAGAAGTTCTCAAACCAAACCAGACCAAACCGTTTCATTACGGTTTGGTGAACTTTGGAYTATTCTTTGATTCTATTGGGCTTAACCCAATTAGAAAGCCMAAATAGCACTCCTAAAGATTAAAACCTAAAACTTTTATTTTATTATTTTATGATAAAATAGAAGAGTTTATTATATATTTATAATTTTATACATTCGGTTTAGATGTATGAAACTGAACCAAACTGTTTTAAACATTGAGCAAAATGTGAAACTGAACCAAACCGTTTTCATGTGCAGACCGAACCAAACCACAAATTTGGTTTGGTTCGATTCGATTTTGCGGTTTGAACCAAACAATGAACACCCCTACCAAGATTGATGAAACTTAAGCAAGTGCAAAGCTGACCCAGTGTAAGAAATAGTATGTTCCCCATTACATTTTCCCTTTATAAAAGTTTATGTCAACTAGAAGAATGATGAAACTGATTAAGAAATAACCTACAGGCTAGGGGTGTAAGTGAGTTGAGCCTACTCATGAGCTACTCGGGCTCAGCTTGCTAAATACTCGAACTTGATTTGAAGTAATCGAGTTTGAGTCGAGTAGTTGCTTAGTTGGTTGAGCTGAGTTCGAGCTTCGCAATACCTAGCTCAAGTGACTCGCAACCCTAATCGAGCTCCTAATAGAATACTATCTTTTAATATGTTTATATTTATAATATAAATAAATATTAATTTTTTGATAATAACTTATTTATAATATAACCAAATAAGTCTATAATTATATTTTCATAATATATTTTTATTTATAGTATTTACAATATTAATTTATTTATAATTTTTAATACTAATTTATTTATAACTGGCTCGAGTTGAGTAGAGTGCAAGCTTTGAGTCTTTTATTCGAGCTTGAGCAGCCTGATACTTGGCTTAGCTCAACTCGATTACACCCCTGCTACAAACGAGGTTTGTCAAGGGAAGGGATCCATTTTCTTTATTTCTTTTATTTTTTTATAGTAAAAGAAAATCGCATTAAAGAAAACGCAAGAGAATATTGGGTGTGAAGGAATTACCCAAAAAGAAATTGGCATAAAAAACCACCAACCCCCCTGAAACCATACATTACTTTCAACATGGCACATCTAAGACATAAGACCACAAAAATCCAAAAAAGAAGGGGAGGGCAAGGAACCCTCAACCACATGTACAAAAAGTAGTGCCTCTTTCAATATGCACAGATGATATGCATTCAAATTCTTTACAAGAAAGCTAAAAAATAATGGACAGCCAATGAACAAAAAAAAAGAATTCGCTGCAACACCCACAAAAAGATTTGAACAGGCCGCCCAGCTCATCWACAACCTTTTCAGTTCTACCAATCATTGCCTCTAGCAGCTCTGACATGGACTGAAAGATTCAGCAATTCCTCTCTTTCCAAACCACCCAACAAAGAGCAAAGGGAAGACACTTCCAAAGGAACTTTCCTTGGGCTGAGTACAGAACAGTCCCCCAAGAAGAAAGCAACCCAACAACCAAGCTTGGGAGGATCCTAACGATTTGAAAGAGCCTAAATAAATGAGACCAGACCTGGTGGGTGAATGGACAGTGCAGAAACATACGGTTTAACTTTGGAATTTAATCCATGTTTCTTCATGAACATGGGAATTTACAATTTTTTACTTAGTATTATCATTTTTATCCAATCCACTCCTTCCAGGAGTCTGGATATCCAAGGCTGTCATTGGGTAATACCCTTTTAGTCCACTATTTTATGAATGATAAGATTTAATACTGCACATAAACAAAGACAATATTGTCACCAAACCTCAATAGAATGGCAATCACTGCTTCAGACATCATACCTGAGATTGGCATCCAGAGGCTAGAAGATTATCATTAGTTCCACCAAAGGAAAAGCTAAATATTTCTTGCGAAGAACCAGAGCTTAATAAGCACACCTGATAACACAAGTTAAAACATCAAAAGATGCTTCAAGGGCTTAACAGAAAACTATCATATTGGACTGATAATGATGTTGAGTTTACAAAAAATCAAAGATGCAAGTAAGAAAGTATAGCATCAGTTCGCAAGGACTCTCCTGAATGAACAATGTGTCTGTGTTTGATATGTGTTAGAATCGAACACTATAGATTCTTGAGGACCCTTGTACGTAACATTTCTTTTTTGATCTATAAAACGAAAAGTTTTACTAATAACTGAATTAGGGATTACACTTATAATCAGAGCTTAGACTAGATACCCAGGCACCTATATATTTTATTTGCTTTCCCTTTACAATGCTACCCAGAAATATTGTTCCCCATGAACCCCTTGCACATAACATTTTCTCTTTTTTTTTATCAATAACTGGAATTCATTAGATTAAAAGAATTTAGTTACAGCACTCCAGAGAGAGATAAACAGGCTTAACTCTCTCCAGGAAGATAACAAAGAAAAAAGAAGTTACAGAACAGCCCAAAATATTTGGTCCCTTCCCGCCCCCTGCTTTGCCAAAGCATCAGCAAATGCATTTGCTGTTCTCTTGACTCACTGAAACTTGATTTCCAGTACTCTAGTTAACCATTTAATCTCCCTCTTCTCATTAGCAAATTTCCAAAGTCCACTACCTTCTTGTAACCAACTTAAGACCAGCTTTGAATCCCCTTTTTTGATAGGAAAACTTTCATTAGATAATTAAAAAGATTACAGGCTTACCACCCACAAAAAGTATGGAAAAAGAAAATAAAAAACCTACAAACAGGCCCAAAACAAAGCCTCCCTAGTAACTCCTTGCTTAGCTAAAGTGTCAGCCATTCCATTTTCTGACCTTCTTACCCAATTAAAGTGCACCCCAATCTCCCTTGCTAAGCTAATAATCTCTCTTAGAGGCTGTCTAAGAGACCACACTCCCAGGTTTCCAGTTTCCATCCACCCTATTACCAGCTTGGAGTCTCCTTCCACTTCTAATTGCTGCATGCCCCATTGTTTCACCAATTTCAAACCTTGAAGTAAAGCCATTACTTCTGCCCCTAATGAATCCCCCACCCCAATTGGGCCCGAGTAAGGGGCCAAGACTTTTTCTYCCTCGTTTCTATACACACCCCCAACTCCCGACGGACCTGGATTACCCAAGGAGCTTCCATCAAAGTTTAGCTTCACCTTGAACTGAAGCGGTGGTACCCAACAATCTTGTACCACAGGGGAGGAAGGCGAGGATATAGCTATAACACTCCAATTTCTAATTAAGTCGGCTGAAGAGATGATGTACTTTCAGCCAGTGCATAACCTTGATGGTGACAACCTCCACAAGTGCTTCCTTGGATTTTTCTTGCCCTAGGAAGATCCTATTGTTTCTCATATCAAATGTTACTTGGTAACAAAGACAACTTTTACACCCCATTTTGCAGGTATATAATATTAGAATTCAAAAAATATGAACTATTTCAATAGTACATACATTTCAATAGATGTTTCCAAGATTCCATGTTTTCTCATCTTGCCGAGCCAAACTGTTGGATACACATTGGATTTAGACTCTCACATCTGTATCCATGCAACACTAACCAAAACTATGTTCCGCACTCTGAATGTGGTAATTTCACAGATCTTAGGTTTTACTGACAATGCACCAGTTCAGGTCATTATAAGAAGTAGAAGGCTCATTTTGTCAACCACCAATAACTAATGATCAAAGTCAACAAAATAAATCTTGCCTTTATGGGTAAGTTTGTATTTTGTGGACTGCAAATTGCTTATATGTTTAAAACCAAATCAGTAAGCCTGAGTCGGTATCTTCTAATAAACACTCATCCATAATGATCAAGGATAAATTGTATTAGTAAAATTACCACATATTCACATGAATCATTGATGCTAATTAAGAACCCTTTAATATTAGAAGGTTCCCTTGGCATCAATGTTAAATGGATTCTCCTAAATGGATTATGGATGAAATGTTTGTGTTGGACATGTGCTGGGCTGCAACACTCCATGGATTCTTGAAGGATACTTCTATGTGACCTTTTTTTCTCTTTTCTGATCGTTTCTTTATCATAAATCAACAGCCAATGTACACAATGAATGTTAATTTTCATATAGAATGTTATTATGTAACAAAATAATCTTTTAGCCCCTTTTCTATAGGTTCATAATGCTAAAATTCAACAAATGTGGATTATTTTAATAGTTTATACTTTTCTAGAGATGTGTCTGCAAGTCATTGTTTCTTCATCTTGCTGAGTCACACTCTGTGACATGCATCGGTTTCTGATTTACATGTCAGTGTCCATGTAACACTGCTTGGTATTTTATCAATAAGATAATTTTGTCTCTATGTGACAAATATTTCATGCATAAATTTAAATTGCATATCAATTTAGACTATAGAGTTCTTTTCTGAGTCTATTATTAAATTCCATTTCCATTTCCATTTTCATTTTCTTCCTTTCTTAGGTTAGGCCTCATGTTGGACTTGGAGCCCCACAGTTCTTGACATGTGGGTCAAGTAAGAATCTAAGATAAATGTGAAAATATCTCCTTAAGTTGCAAAAGATTGTTTATTTACTTTTATATTTTGCAAACTTGAGCTCTGCTAGAGGAGTGGCATATTCAGGGGCTGTCAAAGAAAGGAAAGTTATGCTGGGCTTCCATCCCTCCGGCAGTTATGTGGGCTGTGTGGTCAGAAAGCAACAACAGGATTTTTGAGAAAAAATCTACTACTGAAGCTGAGGTCATTAACTTGGCAGTAGAGGTTTTGAGAAGTTGGATGTCTATACATAATGGTTTTAGAGATAGTATATCTGATTATACTTTTTTGAGGATGGCCTTTTTTTGACGTCCTCCATTTTGTACAGCTTCTCTTTGTACACAGGACCTTATACAGTCATACTTTACCTTCTTTCAAAAAATATATATTTTGCAAACTTGAGCTGCACTCGTTAAGATAAACCAGTTTAGTTGGATAAATGGAATACCAAAACAATATGTTTTGGGCACTGTGTCATATGCAAGCATAAAGATCCACTGAAATATAAATTCATTAATGTGTTTTGGTATTTTCTGAATTTGTAAATTTTCATAATTCTATGACTTTTTCTCTTGTTACACTTTACTTTTTCTCATTAAGCTTAAGCCCCGCAATTTAGACAAGTGAAAATACCTTTCCTCACAGCTCATCTAGAAAACCCTTTGCAATCTGTTTGTGCRTCTAACCGCATATACAATTGTGCTGAAAACCAAGTTCAATGCATGAAGAATTAAGAAGGAAAAGCAGCAGACCTGCTTGAAGGTCCTTGTGTCCCAAGATCTAATGGTACCATCAGATGAGCAAGAATGCAAAATATGTGGAGTTGATGGGCCTGAAAACGAGATCTGGTTGATGGTTTTAGAATGCCCCTTACACTCCCCGAGATATTGGCCTGTTCCTGGGGAGTAAAGTTTAACTGTGTTTGTCGATAAAGACACCGCCAAAGATGAATTCCCCTGGCTTTCATTCAAAGGGATGAACCAAAAGAAGAAAGCTTACGTAATCCATAACGAAGGAAGATAAAACAATAATTTGTTGAATATATCAGACAAAAATAAATAAACATTCTTGAGAATCAACAGAAGAGAGATTAGAGGGAAACAAGACAAGGGAAGAAAAGAAGAACAACTAAAAGAAGAGAAAACCACTATTCCTTCAAGCATTAAGTTGTGTGAAATGATAACCGCAAGAAATTTTCGAGCACATCTTTCACATCAGGAGCTTATCCATCATCATAATTCCATCAGATTATCACCGAACATTATCATTTTTGAAAACTAAAACTACATTCTATGTTTTTTTTTTTTTACATTTTGGAGTTTCCACCAAAACTTTCCATCAGAAAATGACGAATGATCTGCTCACGCAGACGAATACCGAACAAAATAATTACAGTAACACGAAGGAGCATAACATCTCCAGACCTTAACAGCACAAAAAGAAAAAGAAAGCTACCTCGAAACGATTTGGAAGACATAATCGTCCCCAAAGTTTGTCTGAATCGAGTTTTTGATGCCCAACCGCTTGAATGAGTTGGAATTATTGGTTGTTGCTGGATCGTCGATATCCATCTCCATTCCCTCCGCCTAAAGAAGGTCCAGGAATTGAAGCTTATACCCTACACTGCTACACAGAGACGATGCAAAGCAAAACTGGTTTTAACGAGGGTTTAGTCGTTTAGAGATATGCCGGGAATGCTTGTAAGTAGCAACCAGTATATGCAACTTGGAGGCACGTCTAGGATCTGCTACCCACCAGCTGTGCCCACATCTCTACCCACATTTTTCCGATACACGGTTGTGGCCCTTGTGGGGACCTTGTGGTGCTCTCTGGCTGTGGGTAGGGATATGGGAACAACTAGGGGTGTCTATGAAAAATCGAAAAACTGAAAAATCAAATTGAACCGAAAAAACTGAACTGTAAAATATGGTTAATCAAACTGATTGATTTGGTTTTGATTTGAAATTTTTGAAAAACTAAAAGACCGGTTTGATTTTCGATTAATCTACAAAAAAATCGGTGGTTAATCGAACCGACCGGTATGTATATTTTATATATATATGTATTTTAATATATGTCACATATTTTCTATATATTATATATAAATTTATATTCATTATATATATAAATAGATTCTTATATTATATTTATAATGATTTATTTATAAATATATTATTTATTATTTATAATATAATATTATACATATATTTATATAATATATATTATAAATATAAAAAATCGAAAAATCAAAGAACGGAATTAGTCAAAAACCAAAACTGGTGGTATCGATTTGATTTCGATTTAGAGAAATAAAAAAACTGGTACCACCGATTCAGTTTACAAAAAAAGTCCATAATTCGATTAACCGAACCRTAAATACCCCTAAGAACAACTTATGGATAACAGATCCCAAACGATTTCACATTAACGCCCTACAAGTACATTTCAGAGTGCAGTGGAAACATGAAAGATGTTCTCAATACGTGGTTGAGATATACGGACGCAGATGTGAATTCCGAGAGTAGCAATGGGAACAAATTTGAGGATCGTTTTGTAAATTCCACATCTAAGACTTTTTATTTCCGAATCTGTACCTTGCCCACGATGAGGCACCACAGGGATGGATTTTGATATTTCAAATCCTCAACAAAACACGGGTAGAAAAGGAATGGATTTAGCTTAATACCGTATCCTACACATACTAGTACATGGACCATGGGAATGCTATGATATGGCTTATACTTGAATAAAGTTCAGATTTTGTATGAGTATACAAAATACTTCTGTGATTGTAAACTACACTTGAATAAATGGGTGTAGTGTAGTGTGATATATATACTAACAAGTGGAATCTTTTCCAGTTAAGTGGTCGCCTCTCCTTGGTATCTTACATACAAAGGGCTTTATTTACGCCCGCAAGCTAATCCATTCAATATCAACTTTCAATTACATCCGAGTGATAAACATCCAACAGATAATCTGACACAAAAGACCAAGTTTTCGGGATGAACAAGACAGCGCAAATTTAACCAATTTATGGACTGCCTTGTTACAAGACCTAGGAACATATTACATATGTAACTAACTGAACAGTTAGGAAGGTGAAGAGCTTATCCCTGTTTTATAATTGCTATTACACATCACAATATTTAGGGTAAAAGACCTGAACCTCCCTTGGATTTTCTTCTAAATAACAAAACACCTCTTCACTTTTTAAATTAGACTTAGACCTCCCCTATTAAGTTTATAAACTGTTATCTCTAAACAAAAGAAAGAATAACTAATATAGCCTTGAGCAAATTTTGGGATAGATGGATTCCAAGTCGATTTAGAGAGAAAACCTTATGATCCTCTTCAACCTTGGATCAATAAAATCTTGACCAATGTTCACATCACCGCTACATCTAAGGGTGTTAATGGACCGGTTTTGGATTGGACCCTGTCCAATCCAAAATCAATTTGGATGGATTGGACGGACCAGAAAGATATAGTGGATTGGATCAATCCGGTTCGAAATATTTATTAGATTGGACTGGACTTGGTCCATCCATAATAAATTTATACTAGATTTGGTTGGATTAAGCCAATATTCAGTCCATTAATATAAGATAAGAATATAGGTGTTAATGGACCGAATTTGGGTTGAAACCAATCTAAATTAAAATAAATTTGAATAAATTGGACGGTCTGAATATTGAATTGGACGGATCCAAAATGGTCCAAATTATTCATTAGATTGGACTGGATCGGATTGGACCAAATCCAGTCCAATAATTACTATCGACGGAGCTCTTCTAACCTATTAAGTTGTAAATGCATTTTATTCTCTTTGAAAAACCAACACTCGTCCCAAGTCTACATGTTAGGTTATTGGTCCTTGTGGACTTATTCCAACAGTCTAGTTCGAGTGACGGGTCTTATATTGCTGAACAGACAATGGAATGTAAGGCTTCTCCAACGATATGATATTTCAATGAGGGTGACAGGATGGAAATCTAGTGGATTTCTTTGCAGACTCATAACTATGGAGCAGATGGATGGTGGTAGTAGCTATTGGAGAGGAAAGAAGATTTCACAGTAAGTCTATATATAACTTGTTAGCCATACAAAAAACAACTACACAGATGGTTGAATGGAGAATGCTATGGAAAGCTGTACTCGAAGCTAAAGTTGTTTTTTTTTTCGAAAAAGTACACTACAGAATTCTGAATTCCATTGAAATTATACACAATTCAAAATGATAAATACCTCTATCCTAAAACATCAATACCCGGCCATGTATTGACATCAATTCCGAGCTGACACTTACCCTTACTGTAGTGTGTGCTAAACAGTCATTCTCCTTTTTTTTTTTTGTACGTGGAAGATTTACAATGGAGGTAAGAACACATAATAAGCTTATGTCATTGAATAGTGAGAGCAATTGCCATTTGGGTGTACAGAGGTGGATTGCCTTGTGGCTTGTGCATTAGGCTGTGTTTGACCTGTAAACAAGCATATCGGGACTCAAAAGATACGATACAATACGCTCGATATGGAGTGTATTATATCGATTTTTTGAACCTTGGTCACGTGTTAAAGGATTTGGATGGAATACTAATGGATGTGAGGTTTATATCTATTGACACCACCCACTAGGGGGATGTCTAAGTCCAATTTCAAAAGTGATGGGAAGTTTCAATATTTAGGAGCAACATCAAGGGAGGTTTAAGTTTTTTACCCAAATATTTACAACATTACCACTATATAAGGCAAAAAAGTAATAATGCCAATTAAAAAAAAAAGTTATGTTTTATATTTGATTTTAAACATTCAAATATTACGATGCACCATTGTATAAAACAAAAAGTAATGATTACAATTAAAGTTATCTCCTTTTATTTCTTAAAGTATCCCTATGGTTTAGGAATTTGACTAACTCAACCCTCATTATTTACATATTGTCTTGAAGTATCCCCAAGTTTTATGACAATTATCATCATCATTAAATATTGATAAAAAAAGAAAATTTGTTAACTTACCTTCCATTATTTTTCAAATTTTCAAAATAAAGCTCACTCACAGCCTTCACACGCCACTGTGTTCGTCGCTTTCTGCCCCAAGCACTCCTCCACCTTTACCTTTATCATGGCGTCCCAAGGCATGGTAGCGTCCAACGACTTGAGCTCCTTGTAATTTCCTTGTCTTTCGCCTTGGCCACAACTCCCTCATGTAGACCACCTTCAACCCAACCAACATCACCATGTTTATCGAGAAGACCCCAAGTGGGTCCATGAAGACCTAAAAGATGACCCTTACCTGCACACCCACACTAGCAAATATCATACAGAACTCTTCAAGGTTGACAACCTCCTCCAAACCTATTGCTCTTAGCCCACTTGCTTAGCGGCTAATGCCTCTCTCCGATGCGACCACTGTTATAAACTAGCACTTAGCCACTTACTGGCTTTCTCGACGAGGTCTATGACAAGGAGTGGGATCTGATCAAGGGTGGATCTAGGGGAGACCTAGGGGAGCCATGGCCCCCCTATTGTCTAGAAATCTGCACACTGAATACATTTTTTCTATGTAAGTTTCCTCCCTCCCCTTACTTCTCACCAATGGTTGCCCCCCCCCATGGCCCATCCATAAGTTTTGGCCCCCCTCATAAAAAATTCCTGGCTCCGCCCCTGGATCTGATCATGATCGATGCACCTCTTGCAACAACTATAAGATTGTTGTAGCGTGAGGATGAAGATATAGATTTTAGCAAAACATAAAAGCTTTCAAGGTTGTTGGGCTTGAGAATTGATGAAGGTGAATGTTGAACAATTATACCAAAATCTAGAGTTTCAGAAGATGTCGGGGCATGAAATTTTAAGAGGATTGAGTTCATGATTTTCTCCTTAAAATCAATCCCAAACAAACGGAGACCATCTTCAATGTATAACAAAACCCGACGAGAATATCATAAAATAAAACTTCAAAAAAAGATCATTGGAGGGTGGCTAGTTAGAACCAGAGGAGGGGAGGGATGCGGAATGAAGGGTTAAAAGCTTTTTGAATATTTTCCGTAACTTATAGCTAGACTTTGATTTATATAGTAGTTGGTGTCTTGTGGTGACCAATGAGAGGGGAGCACATGGATCGAAAGGATGATCATTCGAATGAGATGTAATGCAAGAATTACTCAGTGAAGGAGGTGCATAGGTTATGGCACTTTGAGATCCTATCGGCGAGCTAAGTTGGTGAAGGTGAAGGAGGTGCATTAGCTGAAACATGTGTCACACAGTTATTACGTGCTCACTCATTGTGCTTACCTAACGTGTCTACTACATCCGGACCCATTCTCGACCTCAAAACTCTTCTCCAATGCATTCACATGACTCATCACCATAAGATCTACCATTTTCGCCATCATCTTCTTTGTCAAGGTTTGGCCAAAAATCAAAGGTAGAGTTTTTTCGGAGTTTTCCTAAAAGGGCATTTTAGAATTTTTTTTTAAATTTATCAGTCACGTGATGTAACATGTGAACAAAGTGTAACGGAAAGTTAACAGCAAGGGAGGTTTTAGACAAATATCAAAAAACTTAAAGTTTAAGGTATTTTAAGGCAATATGTAAACAGTAAGGGTATAGTTAGTCAATTTCATAAACTATAAGGGTACCTTAAGAAATTTGTTGAAAAAAAGTCATCTCTCCCTCAATTCTCTCTCTCACTCGATTCTCTCTCTACTCTCTCTTTTTGGTCCAACGTTTTAGGTCATTCAACATCTCAAAAATTGATTTAAAATAAAAAATTAAATTCATATAAAAAGGTTTATAAATATAAATTGTTCTCTTTTTCTTTGAGTTTGATATTATAGGACATCTGACTTAATTCCGATATCATTCGAGTTTGATTCGATGTTAATTTTTCGAATTTACAAGTTGTATTCAGATTTAAGTAGGAAAAATGGATTTAAATAGAAAACATTTTCACTTTTATATTTATAAATATAAAGTATTATATAATCCCCCTCTCTCCCCTTCCCTCTCCGAGTTATATGTTTCTGGTTATCCAGCTTCAAATCAGATTCATGATACACCCCAAGAGCCAGAATTGTTAAAATACTGGTGAAAAATCGACTAACTAGCCATTTTGACCATTAAATTGGTGAATCAGTATTGCTTTCATGAAGCTGCCCTAGTCATTAAACAATTGAAATTTCAAAACATGTATGATAAGACTTTAACCCATGACTTCTTATTTTCAAGTATTACTTAATTACCATTATTTCACTTTTAAAGAAAAATGTGAACTCTTAAACCCTAGTCATTTGTTTTAAAATGTAGAAACTTTCCATCCATCTACCATATTTAAGTATGATAGAAATTGTAAAATATATTATATATAATATTTATATGACCATAGTATATATACATATATGCCACATCATCATGGTTTGCCTTTCGATTTAACCTTGATTGAACCTCTAGTTCTCTGAGCATTGCTAGCCATATGTTGCATTATACTAAATAGATATCAATATATATATATCACATAAAATTAAAGCTACGTTTGGTTGTGATGCAAACACAAATATGTACTTTGCATAATTACCCTCTTTTCAATTCATGAATGCAAACACGATTCACATTTTTAAATAATTTTTGTACTCATCTTATTTGTTTGAAATCGATGCAAAGCGTAGACCCCATCATTAAATGCTCCAATGCCTTAAATTTGATCAAAAAGCGAAATTATCAGAAGAACACAAAATTGTATCCAAAAAATAAGTACAATAATGTTCTCTCCTCAAAGTACAAAGTGTTAGAAAATACATTTTTGATCTTTTAACCATTACATTTTTACACGTTAAACAAATGCTCGCAAACACAAACCGAGGTAATTGTATCCAAAAAATAGGTTCAACAATACTCTCTCCCCAAAATACAAAAGTGTTAAAAAATATATTTTTAAACTCTTAATCATTACATTTTTATATCTCAAACAAACGTGGGGTAAATAAATACCCCAATTCGACATTTGTATCACAAACAAACAGAGCCTAAAGGTAAAAAATTACAATACAATACGACCCTTATACATACATCTTATAGCATATAAATAATACATTGTATGATGTCATATGACTCCAAATGGATTTCACATCTAGGGGTGAATATTCAATTTATTACTTTATTTAATTAAAAACCAAATTGAATGAATCAAAACCAAATTAATCGAATGCCTGAGAGGGGATGCTGGACCAAATTTCTTATTTATCTGAATCTAAAAATCGAAACCAAAAACCAAAATACCCAAAAACCAAAAATAAAACCAAAATAACCAAATAAAAAAAAAAAACGAAACCAAAATTTTTATTTCATTTTTTCAGTTTTAACCAAATATGCTCGCCTCTAGTCTACATCGTAGAAACTAGGTGCCCTGTTTGGGAGAGCTTTAGCATAGTGGCTTTTGGCTTTCTGGGGTGGGGCCTCACAATGACAGCTGATTCGATGGTCTGTTTGCTTCGGCCTCTTTAAGTGCCCGTTTGGAAGGGGCTGAGCCAAACAAGCTATTAAAAGAGGCTAAAGCGAACAGCGGAACAGCCCAAAAACTGACTGATTGGCAACCGATTTGGGCTCTCTGGGATTTTCTTTACATCAAATCTAACTTCAAGGCTGTCGTTAGGGCCTACCTTGGCAAGCCAAAAGCCAGCTAGCTGAATCTTGAACTCAAGTACTCGACTGAACCATCCCCAATGGTATATGACTTGAGCCGGACTAAAAGCCTATGAAAATTGAAAACCATCAATTATCTAGGACTCAGAAATGCCACCGGTTACCGGTTTTCATGATCGGACCGTCCTTGGTACATTGAGTTGGCCGGTTAGCCCTACCAGAGGGGCACTTTGAAGTTAGAAAGATGGGAGAGGTGGTAAGCCGGCGGTGTCCCAAAACCCAAGGCCTTTCATCTAACTTGACCGGGGAGCTACCTGAATTACTGAAACTGAAAGTCGGTAAATGGTAAAAAGCTTTGATCCAACAACAGACTGAACTAATGAAGAACTGGTAATCTCACATCATACTGGAAATTTTAATTGGTTAAGTCCGATGTAAAACAATGCATAGTCCACTTAATTAAGAGCTAGAAGCCTAGAACCCTCACACCAGGCACTCACGGATTGAACAAACGGATAATATGTTAAAAAGATACTGGAAAGCACACTAAATGCCCATCTCCAGCTGTAAGTTAACCTCCGAATCCTAATCTTTCAACGTACATCTGGCCGGCAAACAAATAGAAAATCAGAGTTCTAATGGCCCCAAACCAGTAAAATGCTAGGGACTACAAATCAAAACAAACATTGAAAGTGAGCTGCCAAAGAAATACACACATCTGGCCAGTCCCATAATTGTATCCCCTTGATTATACCAACCCATAAGTTGAAATTGATTGCAGTTAAATCTTGACGAGGATCATTTTCATGTGCTTGAGGCAGGTTCTGCCTTCTCAGTCGGAGCTTCTCCTTCCTTCTTTTCTTCTTCTTGTTGTGCTCCAGGTTTTTCCACTTCTTGATCTATATAAAGAAAACATAATGCATCATAAAACTCAAAAGAGGCGAGAGATATTCAATTTGTTGAACATTCATYTTAGAATCTGCTTTAATCATTTGGTGTTCAAAAAACCGTTTAAACCCCATTGTCCAGGCCGACCCCTGGTGATATAGTACCCATTTTCATAACCTATTCACAACAACCTAGTGCATTTCCTACATAGGAGCCCGTGCACCCAATGGGTACACGTCCTGACACAAGTATCTTTCCCAATGGCAGGGAGTTTAGTATTAGCAGATAACTCAATTGGTAATGAGAGAAGGTTATGGAGCTACAGGTTGATTGATTATGTCCTTGGCTTTGAAAAATAAGCCTTGAGTTAGAAGGTTATGGAGCTACTTTTTCTGCACAAAGGAAGGAGCAAGGTTAAAAGGGGTGGAGGCTCTGTTTCTGTTATCTTAGATCCAAAGTTTTTTATTTTGATTCTTTAGTTTTTCTATTAAAAAATAGCTTTTCTTTAATTATAAAAAAAAGGCATAGCTTTTCTTCATTAACATGAAATCTTCTATTTGGAGATCTTCACACTGTCTTTTGGCCTTCAAAGTGCTCCACATCAAAATAAAACAATGTGACAAGAAGAAAACAAAGAATATGGATGACAGTCGGGTGTTTTATGGTGTAATTTCAAGGATGTAAAATATAATGGAGAAAAAACTATTTCATATCATTAAGCATTGTAATACAACCATAAATGGTAAAGCACCCAGTAGACATCAATATATAAAAATGGACCCTTCCCAATTATTATTATTATGCTAAATCCGTTCCGGTGATTGTAGGTGCAAAATGGTTTAAAAACTTAACTAGATCAGAGTCAGACAGATATTGAAGTCAACTAGGTGGAGAACTGGAAACCATCAAGTTGGTTGGTCAGTCCATCCCAAAAACCACGTGAACTAGATGGTCCTAGGATGGTTCATCCCTAAAAATGGATTCTGGATCATTTAGTCATTACTCAAAGCTTCAAGATACAAAGGAGCATGGTACTAATGTAAATAATGGTGATTATTGGTAACCCAGAAGATCCATCACCAAGTCATCACTCCACTGGCAAAATCAGTTTCTGAGGCCTTTGAAGCCTACAGCAACTGAGCAACACTACAGAATACCTTTTGTCTTTACAGTGAGACACTTATTCAGGTCATATAAGATTGCGGTATAAGCCCTCTTTAATCATAAGCATGCCATTATCACTTATGAGATGCATGGGATTTGCCTACCTTCATCATCACTATCTTCGAGATCATCACCCATTCCCTCCATGCCGGCAAATTTCTATACAAGACGTAAAAATGCAATAATTAGCAAAATTTCTAATTAAAACTTCAAACCTAAGAGCACAATCAGCTAAGATATCCATACCGAGAAATCCATCCCTCCCAAATCCAAGTCAGCTGGACCTACTCAAATGAACAAGTAAAATTCAATAACTTCAATCAAAAGTTGCATATGCACATATTAACATATACAGTCAGAGTGCCTGAAAAAACAAAACACTGCTAACAGAATCGCATACCACTGTCATCATCTTCATCCACCCATTTGTCCCAATCAACTTTCACGTAGTGTGGTGTCTTTTCATCCCCCTTCAAAAGCTTCTTCCACCATCCTTGCTCAGCTTTCTCAATTATACAGAATATACTCCTCACACCCATGTTTATTTTACTTTCCTGGTGGCAAAAGAAGTGAAATAAAGGAAAAGATAAATTAATGAAAACAAGGGATAATGGATTATGCAAATTTTTAAAGGCCTAACCATCAACTTATACATTGCACAACCATACCATACAGGTTCCCATTAAGAGATACCACACAAATGAGTCAACAAGTTTGGTGACTTAACTGCTCATATTTGATATTTTTCTCTGGGCCTTTTTTTACCAACAAAGAAATTGATTTTCCTCTGAATCATTTCACTTAACTTCCAGGATTTCTGAAAAAGATTGCAATGAACCTACTGGTTAGGATCACCCAATCCGGTTGCCTTTTGGGAAGGAAATCTCCAAAGTGACACAGATAGATGTTTGGATCATACTCTCAGATAGGTACTATAGGCTTAGTCTTGTACCAGTCAACCAGAAACCAGGAAAGGCAAGTTGGGCGGGTGGGGAATTGTCCATTCTAGTTTAATAAATTACGGTTCAATAATCAACATAATAGATGACATTGTTTTCAGAAAGTATCAATTCTTTTTAAGAAATAAGGCTCTTACCTCTACGTTCACCTTATCATGAAGATTTATCTTGAACTCGTATAGATGGTTTTCTGCTCCCGCTATAGCAGAGAATGTAAAAGCTCCATCAGGTTCAAGATTGACCTTTGGATTCTTTGCATCTGGCAACAACACTGTAAGAAAAACCTTGTCTGCCCTCTCGGCCCACTTCACCTCAGGATGGCGACTGCAACATCCAAATTACATTTAGAATGCTATGCACAGAAAAAACGGAATCAAATAAAAAGTAAAACAGGGGAAAATAGTGGCTTATAACAGGTACATGGCTTCTACAAAATTTCCATGGAAGGGTAGTTCATAATGATGGTTATCATACTGGTAACATATAGTCGACAACATAATTGAAGATTTTACAAGAAAAAAGTGGAAAGTAAAGAGTCCAAGATGCGCCTAATTCATTTCTCAAGCATCCTAATTGTGATTGTAGTCAACAAAGAGGGCTACATTGTTGTGACAGACTCTGGCAGTCTGGCAGATCACATCCACAATATGGCAATGATGGGCATGTATTTAATTCTCGTAGAATCATCATCATCATTATCCAGGCCTTATTCCATTTAATTCTTGTGGAATCAAAGTTGAAAAATCCTAACCTTTAGGGTTAGCATTTAGAACCTATACTTTCACTACATTTCTACCAGAAACTGTCCATGATTTGACTGCCAAGGTATTGAATGGAAACAAACCGCTTATATATAAGTAGRAATGGGTGTTTAGGGTATTTGCATCCACTAGAGAGAGATATGAATGTAGCAATATCTGATAAATGTTTCAGCCAATCACTACAATGCAGGAGTTATGGACATGACCATGATTTAACAAGTTGTGACAAATATTAGCTGGAAATTACTTTTCTGAGATAGTTTCCTCAATTAAATGAATCATAAACAATTGAAATATTTTGTTTTCAAATTGTAAATAAGTTCAAAAGATTATCCTAGTTGTTACTTATTTAACTTGATCGATAGGTTTCAACAGACAGAATGGGCTCTGAAGTACAAGACTACAAATTTCAATGTTTTACATCCTACAAGACACTGGGAAACCCATGCAATTTAAAGAGAGCAACCTCGTTCATATTGTGGTGAAAATTATCTCTCTTGTGCCAGTTAGTCTTTGTGAATACATCAGGAACCACAAACCCTTTCAAGCTATTATCAAACATTAAAATAGGAAAAAAATGAAACAAAAATGCTCTAATTCAAGCCCATGAAGATTAGTAAGATCGCAAGGTACTATGGAAATTTTACAAAGATCACCATGGCATCAAAGCACTGGATAACCACGGTTTCAAAGCTGAAGCAGATAAATCATAACTGATACATTTCAGAAAAAACAAGCTAGTAACAGAAGAAGAGAAGCAAAATCTACCATACAGATTGGAGCGCAACTCAAACTGAACAAAATCACAAAAAAAAATATGACATTTTTACAAAACAGAAAGACCTGTCTGGACCGAAAAAAATAAATAAATAAATAACGAAATATCGAAGTCCAGGCGTCTTACCTCATCGCGTCACGAAATGGAAACCCTAGAAAGGCAAATGAAGTCCAAGCTCGCCAGTGCACAGTCCTGAGTGCAAGACTTCGTCTATATATATAATGGGGGGAAAAGGCTCATAAATGACCCAAACGGGTCTCATAGACATCTCCGCAATAGTACCAATCTTCTTTCAGCCACGTGGAAAATTGACGTTTGCTGCAGTCCATAAGATGTGATGTGGAATTCTGTGGTTTGGGCCGTTTGGCTGGACCAGTCTGACATTTTTACTTGGCCACAGAACCTCCATTTGGCTTTTTTTGGGTTTTACTGTGAAGTGTGAACGAGGGATCGAGGGGTGGAAAAGGGGAAGCTCACTTTTGCTGCGACGCGGTTTTAGCTTTTGAGTGACTACCGTGAATCACGGCCTTCGGATGTATTTCCGTGGGCCAGTGGCCCCACCTTAAATTAGGGTCACATGCCATGAAGGTAGGATCACAGCAATGCATTGAAGAATGAAGACCGTGATTTCAAATTCGGCTTGATCCGAGGATAGGGTTAGGGTAAACATATTTGATTTTAGGGTTGGGTTAGGTTTTTTATTCTTAAACTCGAGTTGGGTTTGGGCGTTGGCTGAACCGTCTCATTGGGTCATGATTTCTTATACAAAGTATTTCTGTAACTTTTTGATTTGTAATTCTATGACTTCGTTTGGATCCAATACATTGACAACGTTTTACACTGAATCAAATAATTGGTGATTGTTACATTTTGAAAATTGTGATAAAAAAGTAAAGTTTTATAATGATAAAATCGATGTAAAATTTTATGTTAGATGAGGTTTTACATCGTAAAAATGATGCAAAACCCCACTTCCACTCCATCCAAACACCAACAAATCTAAATCAAAGTGGAGTTTTACATTGATCTTCATTTACACTTTCCAAACGCCAACAAAACTGAATCGGTGTAAATTTTTACATCGATCTTGATTTACACCAATTCCAAACGCAACTTATAATCTTAAAGTTTAAGATTTATTTATATGTTGTTTTTGATTTTCTTCTTTTTTTTAATGGGAAACTAGCAGGGACCCGTATAAAATTATTAAATCTTTTATTTTTAATAAATTTAGTTTCATTAGTAATTTGTACTAAATTTAATCATTTTTATTCTTTTTATTATTTTTAAATGAAATTTTGATTAACTTTAAATAAATAAAAATAATTATAAAAATTAATATTTTTATTAATTCCACTAATAATTAACAAATTATATAGGAATGACAACAGGGTGGGTTCAAGGCAGGGCATCCCATCCCTTTCCCTGCCCCATAGTCAATGCACTCTACCCCATCCCCGCCCCGCCAGTGTCACATGGCTTCAGGGCAAGGTAACCACTCCTCAATGTCCGACGAGTTCAAGGGCAAGGCACCCCACTCCTCTTCAATGATAGAGAATCCTTGAATTTCCTTGTCTCGTCCCCTGTATTGGGTGGGCTCAAGTAGAGGTGTAAATTGGGTCATGCTGGGTCGACACGACACGACCTGCATGTGGCCCGTACAAAGTGCTAGTTGTGTCGTGCTGGCCCATGAGGCATCCCAGGTTGTGCCTCCCTCCTCTAGGATAATTTAGGCGGTCAGTTTGGCACGACCCACTACTCGAGCCCGCACAGGCCCGTGTCATGCCATGGGTCAGGCTGGTCCATGGGTTGGGCCTTAGGCCAAGCTAAGCTCAAGGCAAGGCACCCACTCCCCGTTCAAGGTTTTTAAAATTGGATCGGATAGGGAACCGTTTTGGTTGACTTGCTCTCACAAAAAAATCAGAAAAAACAAAAAAAGGCCAAAAACTATTATYTGGGTTGACAATTTGACTACCCAAGTCAGTAGTTCGCTAACCAAATAAACAATTTTTGGACAAAAAGCAATTTTGAGGTGAAACGGTGTCTGATTCCCAAATTTTCCGATCTAACCATCTCATTTGATCCAATTTTGAAAACACTATCCCCGTCAACCCAATATTCAATTTGATGATAGAAATGATCAAAATGACATATTGAGTATCAACCACATGGTAAATTCCTAAAAGTACACTAAATTATCTTTAATAATAAAAAATGTAATTTTATGAAAATTTTGGAAAATTTGTTGTACTTGTGTAATTTTGAAAATTTATTCAAAATTATTTAAATTTGTATTAAATAATTTATTTTCTTTTTAAATTGTTTACTTACATAATTATACTAATTTATCTTAAAAATTCTAATATAAACTAACCAATAATTTCCTTTTTCAAAAATGTAGTTTTATGAACATTTTTGAAAAATTTATTACATTTGTGTAACTATGGGGATTTATTGAATTTTTTTAATTGTTATTAAATATATATTTTTTTATTTGGTAGTTTACTAACAAAATTACACTAATTTATCTTTTATTTTTCAATATAAATTAATTAATAATTTCATTTTCTAACATTATAATAATTTGTTCCCCCATTTGTATTTTGTTATTAACCATAATAATGTTAAATATAATTCTCAATTTTATAGAAATTAGTTAAAGAGTTTTCAATTTCTATAAAATGTTGTTAATGAGTTAATTGATAACGATATTTTTTAATTTTTGGTAATTTATTAACCATACTAACTGATTAGGGAGTGGAGCAAGATGATACTTTCCTAAATGAAATAACTTAGGAGAGAGATTATAGAAATATTTTTAGGTAGTTGGGTGATATGGCTTAATGGGAGTGGTGCAAAGGGGAGAGGAGAAAAAGTCAAAGAAAATGCAAGGTTGGGATAATGGAGCAAGGAGAGGCATGGTGACGGGGACCAGTGCTTTGTTAAGCAAAAGTTAAACAATAGGAATACATATGAGTATATAATTGTTTTATATTTTAACTTTTGAATAAACAATTCGATCAAACTCAACCCGAGTTGGTCTGTTTTCTAGTATTTCATATCGACTTTGGTTGAATAAATATATATTAATATTTCATATTTTAAATTTAATTTTTTAATATGGGAAAGTAGGAAAGTTCCTATATTTGTTAGTCTAAAATATTTTATATCATATATTTAATTTTTATAATTTACTTTTTAATAATATCATTGTAATCTATGAAATTTAAAGTTAATTTTTAAGTTTAAATTTTTGAACAAACAAACTAAACAAAAAATAGACCCAAATCAATACAACCCGAGTTGGTGTATTTTCGCTAATGGTCAATCGGTTTCGAGTGACAAACTACGGACTTGACTAGATCAATTTGGTTGGCGAAACAACCCTACAACTGAACTGAACCAATCATTGAACACTCCTAATTTCAACTAAATTTATAGTCTAATTTGCAATAAATAACAATAGTTTAATCTCCAATAATTATTGAAAATTTATAACAAACGTACACAATCATTGAAAATAAATTTATAATGAAAATATAATAGATATATAATAAAAATGCAATAATTACAAAAATATAATAAATACGGAAAATATAATAAATTAGTCAATAAATAGTGTAATCTTAAATAATAGTTTAATCTCTAATAACTATTAATCTATAAATTATAAAAAAATATATAATTACTAAAAATAAATTTATAACAAAAATACAATAAATTAAATTTCAAAAGTTAAATAATAGTTGTTTAATCTCCAATAATTATTGATAATGTTCTATTAAATAACAAAAATAAAAATACATTTATAAATAATTATTGAAAGCATATTTATAAAAGAAAAAATAAATAATTACTGAAAATAAAATAAATATTAGTTATAGTATAAATAAATATGTAATGAATATATACTATTATTGTAAAATTATTACTAATAAATATAATTTTGTTGATAGTTATTTTCTATAATTATTAATTGATATAAGTGAAAAAAGTTGTTTACAATATTACTTAGTTATTGAAATAATATTGTTATTTAAATTCTTAAAATATTAATTATTTATTGAATTTAATAACTCATAATATTATAATTGTACTATTATTACATAATTTGTTATTAATTTTGTAAAATATTAAATTATTATTAATATGAATATTATGAATTCTATTATAATTAATTTTCTACTTAATAATTTTTTTAAATTTATTACATAATTTCATAAAGTTATAATTTATATTGTTACTACATAATTTCATGATGAATTTTGTAAAAATATTAAATTATTAATAATATGAATATTATTAAATCTATTAATTTTGTGTGTTTTGAATAAATATTTTGAATTCATTACATAATTTCGTTATAACATTTAAATAGTTCTGAATTTTGTTAATTGAAATTTTCTTTAGATAGATATAGATAAAAAGTGGGGGAGAGGATAAATATGAATTAGAGATAATTTAGGAGAGCATATCTCTACTAAATTAGAGATAATTTAGGAGATAATCTCTCTACTAAATTAGAGATAATTTAAGAGATAAATAGGAGTTAGAGATAATTTAGTAGATAAATAGGAATTAGAGACAATTTAGGAGGAAGTGGGGGAAAGTGGTGCCACTTGGCTAAACATTAGAAAAGCAAATCCCTCTTTGTTTATGATTRTTAGAAATAGTTAAGTATATGTGATTTTCTTATTGGTTTAATGGGTAATTATGTCAAATTAAAAAAAAATCAAAAATACATAAAATTAGGAAAGAGGGTTTTAAGCAAGGAGATATAGGGCCGGGTTGGGCTCGAAATTATGTATTTTTAAGGCAAGTCAGGTGTTTTCGGCTTAAGACTTGTAGGATCGAGTTATGATTGATGCAAGCCCGTATTGAACCCGACCCATTGAAATGAAAGCTCATGTCATAAGTTAAATGGCTCAATTGGGAATATGGTGATTAAATGGAACCCGTGTTAAAGTTTGAGGGGGTGTTATGGGCATGGGGGATGGTAGGACTTCAATGGGTCAGTTTTACTTTATCAAACTGAACCGAATTGAATCAAGTATATCAGTTATGGTTCACACTTGTCCCGATTAAGCATTAGCTCGGTTATGGTTTTTTGATTCGAGTGATTTAGATTTGAATGCTAATTTTATTAATAATATATAAAAGTTTCGTAGTTTTTTTTGTAAATCTTATTATTTTTTCTGTATAAAAATGTAAATTTGATAGATATACGATACCT